AGGAGCAGGAACAGCGGCAGCAGCAGTAGCGGCAGAAGTAGCAGTACTGTAGCAGTAGCACCAGCAGGAGCAGCAGCAGCAGTAGCAGTAGCAATAGAATCAGTAGAAGAAGTTAGCAGTGGTGGTCGTCGTGGTGGGGGTGGTCATAGTGTCGGTGTATTAGCATTAGTACAGTACTTAGTATGCAGTAGTATTAGTATTAGTTTTCGTACTACTACTACCACTACTACTACTCCTCCTGCTGCTGCTGCTGTTGCTGCTGCTACTGCTACTGCTACCATTACTACAAACACCACTGCTGCTACTTCTTCTACTTCTACTTCCACTTCTACTACTAGTACTACTCCTATTCCTACTCCGGCTCCTACCTTGGTGACTAGGTCAGACCGGCCAGAATCCAGTCCCGGCGAGCAGCTGGGCTAGACACTTTAGCGGAATTGGGTCTCCTCCTTGGAACTGGAGTCTCCATGCTCGGAGCGCAGCTGCAACTCATATTCAGGAGCAACTATCCCGAAGCGAGCCAGCGATGCTTGAACTTGATGCCCCCCTGGCTAGATGTTCAGATCCATGCGAAACCACACTGGCTGCGATGTGCAGTTGCTGCTACCACGTGCGACGAGCGTGAGCATGCCAGAACCTTGTCCTCAAGCTGTCTTCACTGCAGTATATTGGACACCTGTGAAGAACCTGCTTCTTGCAACAAGGCCGATGGAGCCCAACGTGGATCGTGTTTCGCTGGTCAGGCCTTTTGTGTGTTGCTTTTCTTTAAACGAATCACGGCCTCTTGTCCTATCCTGCCAAGACATGTCTTGCCAAAAAATGCAGACTTGTGCTGCACGCTTGGGCAGGAATGCGCCAACTTTGCCCAATACACCACTGCTGGAGACCCGCAAGGCCTTGCCCCACCCATGTGGTGCATGTTGGAATTGAAGTATGGGGACCGCAGATTCCTAGGTGTTTCATGGTGTAATTATCGGAGGCCGAGTGAATCCGAATCTCGACATGATCAGACAATGCTCGTAGTGTGAACCTTTCCTCGTGCCGGCTTGCTGCTTTTGACGGAGAGCATGCATTAAGCAAAGGCTTGTCTCTTTGGGCTAAGTCTTCTCTTGCGTCTTACTCCTTCAAGTTGGACCCATGCAGCGGCCATGCGGTGAGTCGTCTTGAGTTGTTGCCAGGTGTTCAAAGCTTCTCCTTGTAGAGTGAATGTACCGACGGTTCTCCTGTAGTACGCATGTATTGGTCTCCAGATTATTGCCACTTAGTCTCACGTTCTTTGCCATGACATTTTACCCGGCTAGCACTATCCGGGACGCTAAAAGAGGGCTGTGGCCGCAGTACTCAGGGCTCGATGAAAGTTGATGTTTTTACGGCTGGAGTTGACGGCTGCGATGTTATGCTTTCCGGCATGTGGCTGAGGTGCTGGATGCTCGCCGCATCTCGAGCCAATCTGGCTTGGGGTCGCAGGTGCGACTGGCTGACGAGAGTTGTGACAACTGTGGATTGAGGGAACTTTCCGTCCCGGTCTTTACTCTTGACTGCAGTTTGGCACCGTGTCAAGTTGCGGGCTTGAAACGGCCCCCACGAAACCGAATTACAGAATTTGCTTTACGTTGCACGGGAAGTGTAGAACGGTCGCCTGCGACCTCAAAGCACTCTCGCTGTGGATGCAAGTGGGGAGCAGCAGTCCTTGTCAAGAACATGGCAACGAGAAGCTTCCGAACCACCTTGACTGCCTGTTTTGTTGTAGACGCCTCCTGTACTCGTATATGATGGTGCAAGCTTTTGGGAGGCGCCTGTGTGGTTTTAGCTGTGGTGTTGTTGTCTGCTGACGCATTAACAGCACGCCGCTGGCTACTACAGCAAAATAAACTCAAATGGGAAAGTCAAAACAGAAGCACTGTCGCCCTTTGACAACTCGATGCAAGTGAGAATTGGGGATGCGTGAGTGCTCAAGTTTCTCAAGGCCTCGACCTGACAGACTGAGGGATTCTCCAATACAGGGATGGCCACCGTGCACTTAGCAAGCGTTGTCATGCATTACCAATCCTCTGAAATGCGCCCAAAGCTGACATGGAGCGAGAACGGATGGCATCAAGGACAGATAGGGTCAATCAATGCTTCGATTGGCATCTGATCCACTCGACAGGACCACCACTAGGCAGCCCTTGAAGCCTAAAGCTGCAGGTGATACTGCAATGACCAGCACTCAAGCAATGAGGTGTTTGCACCAAAGCTGTGCCGAGCACCCAATATCGACTGCAGCCTCCATGTATTTCCAGCTGCTTCATATGATGTCGTGGATCTTGCCGGTTGGTTGGCATTTCCTAACTCGCACTGGCTATGGGAAAATGCGTGGAACAAGCTGGAAACAACATGTGGGTTTGAAGGTCCTCTCCTTAAGTTCAGCAGCCTGTGCGCTGCAGCAGGAGAGGTCATGCCATGGCATCGCTGCGAAATGAAATGTGTGCAAACTCTTTGCCTCAACTAGGCCGTGTGCTGAACCCATTAATAAGCAATATTGCAGTTGTTCCGCTATGCAAGAACGGCACAGTCGTGCTGCGTGTAGGCCTCGCTGCTAAATCCCGACTAGCCTCCTGCAACCTGTAACCCGGCGGCTGAGAGTGTGACAGACAGATAAAGGAGGGAGAGAGAGACGGAGGGCGGGCACAGCACATAGGACTTGTGCCCTAGGCGCCCAGCAAAGCAAAGCAAACAGAGCGAGAAATTGCTTGCGCTGCTCGGGGAAGAAGACTTTTGCGGACCAACCTCGAGCTGCAGGCACGGTAAGTGAGCAGGCTCTTGCTCCTTCAGCCTAGTAAGGCCGAGCAAGAGAAATTGAATGTGAGAGAGAGATAAGTAGAGAGAGTTGAAAGGGAGAGAGTGGAAGCAGTGATGCCGCTTTGAGAAGAAAGATTGCTGGCCATGTCTTCCAGGCGTCCTGTGAAGCGAGGACGTGCGTAGAAGTGGTATCAGTGGTTTCATCGGGAGCAGACGAGACAAGAGAGAGAGAGAGAGAGCAGACAGCATGTAGACAGACGCGGTTGCAAAAAGTTGAGCACGCATGTGGAGACTGACTGGAGACAGCAACACAGATTAATGATACGGTCGGTGCATTAGTTGGGGGTTGGGTACGTAGGCGGATCGGAGGTGCAGATTATGATCATGTTTGTAGGATTTGCTGTAGGTATAAGTATCGTGAACGCCATAGGTGTGGACAAGGAGGGCTGGCCATTGGATGTTGATTCCAAGCAGAGAGCAGTTAATGGTGACCAAGCATAGGCGTCTTCCCAAGTGCTACTTCCAAAAAATGGCCCAACCCTGGGAAGTTCAACACAGTTCAGTACTCCGTGCCATGCTCCTGATGGCCAAATGACTATGCAGGTAGCCCCGGACGTGGGACACAGCAAGCAGAGATCGATGTATATAAAATATGTGGTTTAGGTGTAGATGTTGCATCATTGGTACCCTGCATCCTCCTCTCGTTTGTTGAGGTAGCCAGCATGTCCATGTCGAGTGTGTCTTTTTGCCCGATTTTGTTTGAGAGTATCTTGCAGCGCTGGCCACAGTTTTGTGACAGCAAAGGCGCATGCTTCAGAGTTTCAGGCTTCTCGTCCGAGAAATGAACGGAGCTAGAACGTCCGTGTTCCGACGTTTCAAACAACTTATTAGTCATCTGTGAGTATTTTGAAACGAAGCTGCAACCGCCTTAACCGAACCAGCGCATTCATAGTCAAAGCATCGGAAATCAGGTTTCGGCTATGGGCTCCACAAGCTAAGCTCCATCATCGCACCGTTCATAGTTGAAGCTACAGCCCGCGACCTTTCACAGACTGGGCTTTCCCGGGCCTGCGTGTTGCCATAGTCGCCATGTCAGCTTTCCGAGCACCCGCAGAAGTTTTTAGATTGAAGGCGGAGGAGGGGCTGGGTCTTGCTCCGGCCAGTCCTTGGCTGGTCCATTTGTAAGACTGCGGCCCAGGCATCGCGGAGTCGCACATCCTCTCTGGAAGTTACCCACGTCGCAAGCAGCGGTGTCTTCTCGTTCTTCAATTCAACTCGTTGCAAACCCCGAGGGCCATGATTCCGCGCGCAGCTGGGTTCGGGCTGATGCTGATGCTCAGCTGGGCGAAGAGGCCCCAGATTCCCCCGCACTGGAGTTGCCGTGGACAAGTCGATTGGCCGTCTTTGCGGATGCTTCAAGAACAGGTCGGTCGCATGATGGAGCATGAATTACTCCCCGTGTTGATGCTTGAAGGAGGCTCGCAGAAGTACTGGGATTTCCTTTTTCAAGAAAACTGCCATGCTGCCCGATGGACAGTGGAGTTGCTCTATGCAGAGTTAGGCATGATCCGTGCTGAATTGAGCAATGATTGGGCCGATGCGTTGGGATCTGCTGGCATGGACATCAACCATCCCTTTGCGATATTTTTCCGCAGGAGCCATCCGAGCATGGACCTTTTCCACGAGATCATGTGGGGTGCCGGCTCTGCTTGGTCTTCGGTGAGTGCTGGTGGCTGGGGCACTTTTGCGTTGCTAGGAAGACTGTCTAAAGCATTTCAAGTTTATCTTCAGAAACAAGGCAAGCCAGCAAGGGAAGCTGTAGAGGCCATCATGATTGTGCAGCCCACCGAGACTAGGCGAACTATTGCTGCCGGAATTTCCAGGGTCTTGACTGTTGCATTGGCAGGATTGCAACATGCAAACGCATCAGCCCCCTGGGAGCACCGCGCAGCAGCAGCCGCCGCTGCTGAGACGTTGTTGCGAAGGTGGTCCCGGGCAGCTACATACTCGGGCTTGCCGCCTTGGCAAATCCTTGGATCCCTTTTGCTTGATGCACAGGCACCCAAGTTCTTTCAATTCCTGGATGCCATCCTCCTGCCTGATGCCGTCCGGATTTGTCTCCCTCAAGTGCTCGGTCTACGGTCCTCGTGCCGGTGCAGAGCAGGGCATTGCTCCAAGTTCTGGGGCAGGGACCAAGCTCTTGCGGCTGCTGCCGGCAACCACAGCAATAAAGCGGGAGACTTGGCCATCTTTCGAGTTGTGCCGAAGCGTGGGCTACTGAATGACAACTTTCGAAGCAAGTGCAACGTCACATGTCCCAAAGCTGTCCTGGGTCTTCTTGGAGAGGTATCAGAACTCTTTATGGGGCAATCGGTCCCTCGCACTCCCTTCGTGTATGTGGACGTCGGGGCCGCACTGGGGGACTGCATGATGTCTGCGTCCTTCCTGTTTCCGGAAGGTCGCTTGCAAGGCATAGCCTTCGAGGCTATACCTGTGTGGGCAAGCCGCATGAGGGAGACTTTCCGCATCAACGGCATCTCCGCAGAAGCACTCCCCAACAGGACACAGGTGCTGGTCAGAAGTGTGTTCCTGGGCAGTGAAAAGTCCAGATCGGTGTACATGGCAGGTGGTTGGGGCCTTGGTGGTTCTAGTGGTGCAACAGATCCTGGATCTGTCGGGTCTTTCCAGCCGCTCACTTTGAGAACCTCCACTTTGGATGACGAAGTTGCCGTGAGCGGCATTGGGCGGGTCGACTTGCTTCACATCTTTGTGAATGCTGTCGAACCAGAAGCCAGGAGTTTGTGCATCATCGTTTTGTGTTTATAGAGAGTCTTTCACAACGTAGAGGTTCAGAGTCCCACGTCTTTCGGGTTGCAAAGTTCACAAGAACCAAGGCAGTTCTGCAGGGCGCCAGGCGCTTGCTGCAGCAGCACCGAGTAGGATGCGCCCTCGTCCAAACGTACCTCAGACAAGATATCACAGGTCCGGTTGTCCGAGTTCTCCGCTCAAGTGGCTATACAGTCAGCAATTACAGCTATGCGATTCCAGAGAACGCTTTCCAGCTAGTGGCCGGGAGTCCAGCTGATGCCCTTGCGCTTGCAGGGGGATCGGCTTGTGGCAGACGGTTTTTCCAGTGGTGGCTTGGTGAAAACCGTGAGATCGAGAGTGACTGTAAGATGAAGAAAGAGCAAGGCAGAGACAGAGAGGAAAGACCGACACAAAGGCAGAATTGCACTGGCACAAGCCGATTTGCCCAGACGTACCGAACACGCGCACATACACACAAATCACACCACTCTGGTTGGGAGCCCAGAACTTGACCAATTGGAGTTCCACGTATCGAACTTTCCTTGCAAGCGATGCGAGTCAGGATGTGCACAATCCATGGGATGTCGAGGCCGTCCGGTCCGAAAGATGCATGAACCCTTGGAAGGCGATGTGAGGGAGCGGAGTTCTGCGCACGTTTCGATTTGCATCATACACTATCATACATTATCCTGGCGCTGCATGCGCTCAAGAATGAAGAGCCCGTCACGCCTTGAAACTGCGCAAGTCTGTGTTTGCGATCGCCACGCATGCCGGTTGTCGTCGTCAACGTCGTTCTCGTTCTTATCCTCCTTGGACGGCGTAGCGCTTGTCGTTGACGCCGGGGGGCCTGGGGGCCTCTACCTCTTTAGAATCCTCCATGTTCCCTATCCGACTAGAGCCTACACGACAGAGCTCCACCCCCTTGAGCACGTATGTTGGCATATCTCCCGAGAGCGGGTCTTCCTCATTCTCTGCGCTTGAAGATTCACTTGCCGAAGGTTGTGTTCACCAGTCTTATTCCCGTGTTTATGCAGGCAGCTGCAGGCAATGCAATGACTATCTCGAAAGTTGCCAATGTCTTTCCTCGACAGATATGGTTCTGTGAACCGGCAGTCCATGACATTCCGGTTCGAGTTGCATGCTTGAAGATGGTTGAAGGTACGTGAAGCCTTACCCTTTCTCCACAGTTCTGACACAACCATGCCGATATCAGGTGATGAAAGACGGTGTAAGCCTGAAAAGCTTCTGCCAGCCAGCTAGAACAGCCGTTCCGTGGCCCGGGCTTGCTCGCCCGACCATGGATCCGTCATTTGCGCCATGGAGACCTGGATGTGCGAACCGCTTCTTGTGACACCCGAGCGAGCCTTGCTGGAGCAATTGACTGAAGCGGAATGTCTCAGGTTTTCCGTGGGTGGCCGGATTCGGCTTCGGCAGCATAGCGAGGTCAGAAGGTTCAGTCCGGGTACTGGTGGACAACAATGCGTCGTACTGATGTCATTCATTGCAGCACTACAGTAGTCACTAGCCTGCGCGCAGTCCTTCGAACACTGTCGGGTTTTGCTACTCGTGACATTCTGTCATGGTCCTAACTCATACTAACGGAGAATAGCGGAGCTAGAGATACAATGTTAAAAGCACACAGATGTCAACACGTAGACTGCATGGAAAGGCAGATTAGATGTATGATAACAGTTGATAACTAATAATAACAATACCAAAAATCACAGTAGCAGAAAATAATCATCGTAAACGATAATGATATAATACTAGTAGTAGAATAATTTGTAATAAGAACACAAAATAGCAACAGTGTGCACATGTGTATATATGTGGATATCTATCTATCTATCTATCTATCTATCTATATATATATACATATATACGACCTACCTGCAGGGCCCATCGGCTACCATTACTGCACCGTCTTCGAAAGTGGGCACCGGCGAGTCACACAGGATCGTCTTACAGAACCTCGTATATGTGATGCCATTGCCCGAGCCGAGGCCTTTACAGTAGAGCAGTTCACCTTTCAGCATGCCTATCCCCGTGTTACGGATTGTGCTGTTCTTGGCTACCATTGCCAGGATGTGATCGCTGTCATCCCACATGAGGCATGGCCGGATGGGGCTAGACCCACGGCCGTTCTTCTGGACTGCCGTCCGATCCAACAAGGATGGGCTCTGTTCCTCGCGGCCGACTGCTTGGTGTCGCATTCTTCGCTCATTTATGAGCTTGACACCTTTGTGCCCATGGGATGGCAAGTTCAAATCGACCCGATCGATATTGAGGATGGAAATTTCACCGTTGCACCGGGTACTGTTCTGGTGGTGTCTTATGTTCCCCAGACTACAGATGAGGAGTCTTCTCCGGCCCGTCCCTGGCAAGGTTTCCACAGTGACGATGTTGTGGATGACTCCTCTAACGAGGACAGTGAGGACAGTGACGGCTCCGATGGCCTACCCCCCCCCCCTGGTGGTGCAACATGCTCGGCTGCCCGCTCTCGCAGCCGCTCCCCGCAGACCCGTGCGCATGACAGCAACGCCCTGAGACTTGGATGCCTCTGGGGCACAGTCCCGCGGACCCCGTGGTGCTTCAGCTTTGCGGCTTCTTGCGCTTGCGCCCGTTTGACTATGTGGGTCTTTCTGCTTTACCTTGCTGGCCTGGTCCTAGGCCCTTTCTGGTGGTCTCAGCATGGACCCTGGTACTTGCTTTTCCGCCTCCTCTGCGTCATTGGTTGTCTTTCAAAGGGGCCTTTCCGACTTCCACGCTGGCTCACGATGGCCTTCTTATTGGGATGTGGTGCCACGCCGGTCACTGGCATGCAGTTGTCCCGTCGGCCTTCCCCCTTGTCTTCGAGTCAGCTTGCTGATGGGCTGGTCCAGGCTTCAGGTCCGGATGGCTTGCGTTGCGATTTTGCTGCTGCAAGCTGCCTGAGGCCGCAATTGATGCCATGCCGACCTATCTCTACCCCTTGCCGTTCACGTGTGAAGGCCTCTGATTTCGATGTTGGGGATACGCCTACCCTGCTCGAGGAGAGCGTCCGCAAACCTGACTGCCAGGCCTTCTTTCTGGCTTCGACACTGGTGGAGGTTCTGATGGAGCATTTTGGGTGCGCGCAGCCTTCCTCACCTTGCCTACCAACAAGGGGCAGTCCTCTGCCAATTTGCCTGCAAGATATGCTCCCTGCCCTTTCGGAGCCTTCCGACATGGCGGCAACGAGTTCGGCCGAGTTTTTCTGCTTAGACTCGCAGCAATGCCTCCTTCCAGGTACGGATGATGCCACCCACAAACTCTTCGAGCGTGTCCCTTTTTCCGCTCTGCCGCCTGCCCCTTCGGGCCTTGATAGGCCCTGGCGATTCTTCGACTGGATCACGTGTGGCAACATCGGTCGCTCTCCTGGACCCGGTGAAGCGCTTGTCATTACCTCCGATGGCTCTTATCGGGCATGTGATCAAGCAGCCGGATGGGGACTCTCTTTCAGCATCGCCTCGCTTGACTGGCAGGACGTCCCTGGGCAGTTCGTGGGCTGCTTATGTGGGCCCATGCAGCCTTTTCTGGCGTATCTTGGTGAGTCTGGTGCTCCCGACGCCTATGCTGCTGAGGTCGCTGGCCTCTTATGGGGTGCGATTGTTACCTTACAACTCCCCATTGCTTGCCCTGTGCTTTTCCGTGCCGACAATGTTTCTGCCTTGCAAGGTGTCCAAGGTACATGTGGCATGCGATCCTCTCCCCTGTGTCTTGCTGCCAGAAGCCTGCATGCTGCTGTTTCCATCTGCTTGCCTGCCACCACTGGCTATGAACATGTTACGGGTCATTCGGGCGATGTTGCAAATGAGCTTTCGGATGCTCTGGCGGCCCTCGGTGCCAATGGTGCTGTTCGCACATCCCCTTTTGCCTTTGACATAGACCATTTTCTTCGAGATGGCGCTGCAGCCAGCCTGTGGTTACCACACATTTGCCAAACACGGCGCCATCCTCGAGAGCTTCCTATGCTGCGTGGTCAGGTTATGTCTTGGCCCATGGTTGAAGGTGTTTGCCGCTTTGAGCCTGAATACTCCATGCAGCCCTTTTTACGAGCATTTCCTCCTGATGGGGATCTGCAACCACCCCAGAAGACACGTCGAAACACTTTATCTGTGTGCCTTGTGTCCTACAACGCTTTGTCGCTTTCTGATGGAGCTGGCGAGGCCCAGCAGGGCCTGCATGGAGCCATTGGACGGCCCACACTTCTCCAGCAATCCCTCATTGCACACGATGTGCATCTTGCGGGCCTCCAAGAGTGCCGCACCCCCCAGGCGAGGACTAGAACAGGCCTCTTCACTCGTTTTTGCTCTGGATGTGACGAGAAATCGTGCTTCGGTGTTGAGTTGTGGGTATGTGATAAGGGGCCATGTGCTGCTTCCTCTGTCGTTGTGTTCCACACCTCACCGACTGTCCTCATTGCTGGGGCCACCTTAGGAGGGCTGCAGGTCAGGATCTTGGTGGGCCATGCCCCGCACCGCGGGCACACTATCGAATTTCGCCAGGCTTGGTGGACTTCTGTCCGTGGCTTGTGCCACTCCTTTTCTCGCACGGATGCCCCTGGATCTTTCTGCTTGACGCAAACTGCCGAGTAGGGAGCCTTGTCTCCGATGCTATTGGTGGGCATCAGCCAGACGAAGAAGATGATGCTGGGGCATGTTTTCATGCTCTGCTTCTTTCGCTCCAGATGTGTGTCCCGGCCACCTTCTCGGCACACATGTCTGGGCCTGGAGGCTCTCTCCTGCAAAAGCGCAATGGAGCCCTCGACAGGTCTGACTTCATAGGGGTCCCTAGGGAATGGCTTTCCGGGGCATGTTCTGCGAGGATCGAACCGGGAATTACCTCAGGACACGCCTGTGTGGACCACTTTGCAGCTTTCCTGGAGGCACACCTGACTCTGCAACAGCCGTTTTCTAAACAGGGCAGGGCTGCGCGTATTGACGCGCGTGCAGTGGCAGACCCACAGAATGCTGGAGCGGTCTCTGCTGTCATCACTAGTGCTCCTCGGCCAGAGTGGGACATTGACGCCAGTGAGCATGCAGCCATCCTGGTGGATCACATTTACCGCGGCTTGGTTGCGCATTTTCCGCTTCGCCCAAAGCCTATGCGTGCGCATTTCTTCTCGGACACCACTGTCGCGCTGCACCGCGCTGTTGCAGCTCTCCGCCATGCTGTTCGCACCCGAAGCGCGACCCTTCGGCTTACCTTCTTGCGCTGTGCTTGGCAGGCATGGCGCCAGTCGACAATGTCATTCATGGGCCTCTTTTCTGGCCGTTGGCTCTGGCAGCTAAGGATGCGCCTTGGCAGCAACTGCATGCTCCTTCGGCGTTTTGGGCTGCAGCTCAAGCGTGCCTGTCGTGCAGATAAAGCTGCGCATTTGACTAGGCTCTCTTCGGAAATTGCTGACGCACCCACTCGCGAGGTCCATCAGGCCATCCAGCGTGTTCTGCGGCCGCGCAAGTTTCGAAAGACAACTGCGGCCCCCCTACCCCGGCTTGACAAACCGGACGGAACGATTTTCCGAGATTCCGCCGAAGTCATGGATACTTGGCGTGAACATTTCCGGGTGCTGGAAGGAGGGATTCAATCAAGCGCGGAGGATCTGGTCCTCCAGTGCCGCGGTGTTGCCTGCGACATCGACGACCAGACCAACTGGGATGCGGCGCACTTGCCTTCTTGGTTGGCCCTCGAGGCGGCTTTGCGCCACTCGGCTCCTCGGAAGGCCGTTGGACCTGACTTATTGCCTCCGGCAATATGTCGGTTTTTCAGCCCGCAGCTCACGGAGGTGTTCTGGCCCCTCCTCCTTAAAACGGTCTGCCGGATCCGCGAGCCGGCAGGCCTCAAAGGAGGCGTCCTCTTCCACATCGACAAGGGCAAGCAGGGGGCTCGAGCGACCTGCGATGCGCATCGCGGGATCCTTGCGCAGTCATGCCTGTCCAAGGCGTTCCATCGATCATTGCGGGGTCTTATCATGAACCACTGGAGCGCCCACGCGCTTCCCCTGCAGCTTGGAGGGCGACCTGGACTTAGCTCTACGTATGGTCACCTGGCCTCCAGATCCATCTTGAGCTTTGCAAGGCGCAACCAGCTCTCTGCCGGCTTGATCTTCGTGGATTTGGCCTCCGCGTATTACGCGGTCATACGCGAGACGATTCTCGGTAAGGACCTTGCCAACAGGCCTCTTCAGGAAATTGCCTCAGCCCTAGGCCTTGATGACGCCGACCTTCAACGTCTCCGCCACCTTGTCGAGCAGGAGCCTATCATGCACCAGCAGGGTGCGAGCCAGTTCCTCATGGCTTTGACCCGTGAGATGCACCGACATACCTGGTTCATCTTGTCGGATGACAGCAAGCTCATTGCTACCCAGCGAGGCACTAGGCCAGGGGGCACGCTTGCGGATGTGCTTTTCAACATCCTTTTCGGGCGGGTGTTGTTACGGAGGCAGTCCAGCTCTCTGGCTTCTGCGTTCCCGCGCGTGCCATGGGATGGAGTGCGCACGCCTTTCCCTGTGGATCTTTCGCGTGCGCCGGCCACTCTCATTTCAGACATTGTGTATGCTGATGATTTATGCACTCCGATTGTATGTGAGGCCGCATCTCAATTGCGTGGCACTGTTTCGGCAGTCACAGCTGACACGTTTGATGTGCTCACCCCACATGCTCTGCGACCAAACCTGGGTCCCACTAAGACGTCGGCTTTGGTTTCGCCAGTAGGCACAGGTTCCAGGAAGGTTAGACACGACTTGTTCGTCGGCCTCCGAGGTAAGGTGCCTCTTTGGCCAGATAGCAAAGGTCTGCTCTGGATGGACCTCGTCTCGCGCTACCGGCACTTGGGCTCCATAGTGTGCCACGATGGCAACATGTGCCCGGAAGTGAAGCTTCGCCTGGCTCTGGCTGGTGCTGCTTTTCGAGAGGGTCGGAGGAAGCTTTATGCTTGCAAGCTCATCCCTTTGGAGCGGCGGGCAACCCTGCTGCGGAGCCATGTGCTCTCGATCCTGCTTGCGGGTGCGGGAACTTGGCCATTCCTCAATAGTAAAGCTTGGCATGCTTTTCAGGGTGGGGTGATAGGCTTGTACCGCCAGTTGTTGGGGCTTAGGGCTACTGGCAATTGGCATTGGACTCGCAGCCAGCTCCTCTCCAGGGTTGGGCTCCCTTCACCCGAAGCCCTCCTGCACACTGCCCGACTTCGCCTCCTCTCACAACTTGTCAACACGGCACCGGACCAGATCTGGGCTTTGATCGCTTGGAATCAGGAATTCCAACAGGGGTTGCGAAGTTCAGGTAACTGGTTCTTTGATGCCATGCACACCACTTGCAAGCTTGGCCGCATTGACCAGGACTGGTTTTCATGGTCTACCCTCATCAAGGCGCACCCCGGCCACTGGAAAGGCCTCCTCAAGAGAGCTGAGGCATGGGATGTCGAGACACATCGTCTGCAGGGGATCTTTGACTCCGCTGTCCGCTCTATTTGGTCTCCTCTCGTCCCTACCTCGCGTCTTCCAGTTGAAGGTCTGCATCATGCATGCCTTGTCTGTGGGTTGGCCTTCGCCAGCCGCCAACAATGGGGTGCTCACGCACAGCGAGTGCATGGGTACCGCAATGCTGCAACCCGACTGGCAGCCGGTCGCCAATGCCAAGCTTGTGGCACTGTCTATGCCTCGGGTTCTCGACTCAAGTCCCACCTCCTTGCCTCGGCTCGATGCCGTAGCTTCCTGGAGCTGAGTGATCCTGCCGTTCTGCCGCCACCGCTGCCTGAAATCAAGGATCCGCATTTGCAAGCTCCTTCTGTGCGTGCTACGCAATGTCCTATGCTTCCCCCTGCCAGTGAGGAACGTTGCCTGGCTTTGGCGGCGGAACTCTCTCGTCTGAGATGTGCTACAGACCAGGAAGTTTACGATACAGTAGCTGCACATGTGGCCCCGTTGCCAGTCTTGCGACGTACCCTCGAGGTATGGGCCTCTGACCTGCCTGCTGGCCCCCTGGCTGACAGTGCGTCTGATGTCTTGCTTGTGTTGACCCCTGAGCTCCTTTGCTCGGAGGTTTGTGGCAAGCTTGATGGCAATGTTCCAGCTCCTCCGTTTATGCCTCGCCTCCAAGCCATGGGATTCTGTCCGCGCAAATTCCCCAGGGAGGTCCTTTGGCACGGCCACCTGGATTTGGCTTGGATTGATCGTTGGAATCTTTCCTCTCTTCCCTCCTGCCAGTTGGATGTCAAGGATCCCCGGGTTGATCAGGCCTCTTGTGCTGGACTTTGTGTGGTTGTGCGGCGGCCCCCTGGCCATTTTGTGCACCTCCTCACTCCAGGATCCCTGCCTCTTCGAGGCCTGCGAGCCCTTGCTTCATGGCTTGAGGATTTTTTCGCTATCTTGCGAATCTCGATTTGCTCTGCTCAGGTCGGCATTCCGGTTCTTTTCAGGGTTGAGGCTAGTGCTGAGCAGCTTGCTCCGCTTTCTTCGTGGCTCCTGGAGCTTGCCGACCTGCCGCTAGAGCAATCCCAAACTTGTTTCACTCCTGAATTCGTCGCAATAGGCACGTCGTTCTGACTTTGTGCCTTCCCAAGCAAAAAAAAATACATATATACACATATTTATATATATACACACAAAACGGGGGACCCTGGGCATGCGCGCTTCCGGTGAGTCCCAGGCTTGCAGCCACCTCCGGAATACGTACTGTCGAAGAATCACATCATAATGTCGCATACGGGCAAGTCCCAGAGCAAGTCCTAGATAATCATATACTACTTTGAGAAAGGGG